TAATAATAATTTTGTGTAATCATTTTACCAAATTTGAAATAACATTCTATGCCTAAAATTTTAGACTAAGTTCAATGTACTTAATTGTACATGACTTAATATCTTAAATAGTTTAATATCTTAAATAGCAATCACATAAATTTTTTTTACAGCTTTTTAAATGGCTCCAGTAAAAAAAGATGTTCAAGGGGAAATCCGAAAATGGATTAGTCAATTTTGAAATATGCACTTAAAATATATAAGACTAATATCAACTATTTACAGTGTTGTTGAGTGTGCCACTGATCATCAAGGCCCTTTGCATAAAAAGGAAAGTGGTTAAATATTAAAAACAAAAAAAATAAACAAAAAAGAAAAAAAAAAGATAAACCAGTTGAAGGCATTTCTCAACCATCATTAAGGTGTATCCAGGGGTGTGGAGTCATAAAAAAAAAGTAACGACTCCGACTCCAGTTGTTGAAATTTTTTGAGTACAACTCCGACTCCAGTTGTTGAAATTTTTTGAGTACAACTCCGACTCCAACTCCAAAGCAAAATTTTTGAAAAATTCTTTGAATTCTTTAAAAAATATTGCGCGATAAATTGAATTTTTTTTTTTTTTGACAAATTTATGCAACGTTTTTTGAGGTTTAGTATGAACCTAAGGTTAATTGAATGTTTTGTACATGCACGTGCAATACCAAGAAATATTACTATCGGAGTCACGATAATTTTTAGCGACTCCAACTCCGCTAAAATTGTTGCAACTCCGACTCCACAGCCCTGGGTGTATCTCAGTGTCTAGTGGCTTGAAAAATTAATTGTAATCAGTTACATATTAGTTACTTAAAAAAAAGACTTTAATACTATAGTATTAAAGTATAGTAAGACTTTGATACTATATATATTTGATACTATATATATATATATATATATATATATATATATATATATATATATATATATATATATATATATATATATATATATATATATATATTTGATACTATGTATATATATTTGATACTATAGAGCAATTCCACGACTGTCTCACAGTGAATGAAAAAATTAAAACAAGCCAATATACATAATGCTATATATCAGTAGAAAGCCATAAGTCTCCTTTTTCAGAAAATATATAGCTTGTTATAGTATGCCACTATTATAAAAAATAATATGGGCTGAAACAGAATGTAAAAAAAGGCAATTTTACAATAATTTAATTCATTTTTAACCGTCAAAGTTCAATTGAACCTATAAAAAATTCAAAAACTGTCTTGCTCATTGCAATCAGGTTTTTAGCTGCACTAATCATTGCTACTTATGATAAAAACATGTTTTTTGCTAGACGAATCCAGAAAACCATTTATTTTAATCAAATGTTATTACCACTATTGTAACGCTGTGACAATAGTTTTATTTCTAGGACAACCAGTAAAACTTAAGATTTCAAAATGTTTAAAAAAATAATCACCTTATGTTATTTTTAGAATCTTTTGATGTCACGCTGTGACGTCACGGCGTGACAAAATTTAAAACAATATTTAAAATTGCTAAACTGAAACCACAATTAAGTTTTTATCAACTTCAATGGGCCGGATTATTGTGCGACATACTTTCTTTGACGTTTTCTACAAAAGCTACAAAATATAGGTATGTTTTGCATAGGCAACACTTGGAGGATGAATGCTCAGCTATTCTTGAGGCTCTCTTTTGGTATTCATAGAGCCTCTCTAAAGGATAATTGTAATTCCATTGAGCCTTAGATGTAATATGTGCATCTCCATAACTACTGTGTCGCTCTTGTTTTTAATCTTTCAAAGGATTAACATGCCTCTTACTCATGCTGAATGTCAAAAGAAATATTGTGAAAGCCAGTTTAAAAAATTTGGCAAAAAAGTAGTTAAAGAAAAGGAATCGAAAAGGAGAAATGAAAGAAGACTTGCTAAATTGGAGGATCAACAAGAAAAAGAAAGGCTACGAAAGAGAAAGAGCAGACAAAAAATAGCAGAATCAAAATCTGTAGTTGTTACATCACCCCCATACAAATCTGCAAGCACTCTTCAAAAAGCTGTTAAAAGAGCCGAGTCAGCACTACCAAAATCATCCAGAAAAAGGGCTAAAGTTGTACAAAAACTTTTAAAAATGAATGAAATCCCTAGCCCAGAAAAAATACTTAGTGAAAATGCATTAGATGCTTTAACTGTAAAATTGGTTCTTGATTTTTATCAGCGTGATGATATATCCTGTCAAGCACCCAGTAAAAGAGACACCATTGTGGTGAGATTAAAGAACAAAAAAGAAACTGTGCAAAAACCTCATTTGTATATGAATGTTAATGAAGCTTATACTATTTTTTAAGGTGATTATCCTGAAGAATCATTTAGAAAATCAAAGTTTGCTAGTTTACGCCCACCACATGTGCTTTTGTCTAGTTCAATGTCAAGAAACGTTTGTTGCTGTCAGCGACATCAAAATATAATTCCCATCCTTGAAGCTCTGCACAAGTTTGATTCAAATTTTCCATTGTATTCACATGAATTTCCTCTTAGCATTGTATGTGATAGTGAAAAAGAAATTTGTTATAATAATATGTGTACAACATGTAAAGATGCTGCCAAGTTTCATAATCTATACGTTTTGAATGAAATTGACAAGAATAAATGCATTACATGGTACCAATGGGAAAAAGTTGCAGAAGGTAATAGAAAAAAATATATTAAAAAAATTGAAAAAAAGGGAAAAGTTGATGATCTTTACAGCACCTTTTCAAAATCTTTACCTTCATTTCTTCGGAATTATTTTATTAAACAGAAACAATCAAAGACATATCATGATCATAAGATCTAACTTCAAAGTAATCCAGACACAGCTGTTCTTCAAAAAGATTTTGCTGAAAATTTTTCAACTTTGTGGCAAGATGAAGTGCAGTCCACACATTGGCAAAAGAGTCAAGTTACTGTGTTTACTGCTGTATTTTGGTACCAAAATACATGCTCATCAGCTGTCATAGTTTCAGATGATTTAAGCTACTCGAAAAAATCTATTCATGTATTTGTTCATAATTTGCTATCTAACCATATTAGATCAAGTGTTAAAATACTACAGGTTTGAACAGACGGGCCGAGTAATCAATTCAAAAATCGTTTTATTGCATCAGCAATACCCTGATTGGAAGAACAGCTTAATTTAAAATTTTTCTGGAACTTTTTTGCTCCTTCACATGGGAAAGGACCGGTAGATGCTATTGGTGGGACCATTAAAAAAATAGCAACGCAAAAAATAATCTAGAGAAAATTTATAATAACTGATGCCATAACTTTTCATGAAGCTGTTAAAAATCAGACTAATTTCAATGTCTATTTTGTTTCTATGGAAGATGTAATAAATACAGTAAAAAAATTTAAAATTGATGAGTTATTTACAGAAGCACCATCAAAACCAGGAATATTTGCAGTTCACCTAACTCAAAACAATAATGGGAAAATAGAAATGCGACCCTATTCAAGTACCAAGTATTTAGTGAAACAACTTACGTCTTCACCAAAAAACTTTAAAATGTTGTATATATGACAGCAATATAATATGGACACGATTTGACACTAATATATTGAGCGTGTTCTGAAAATTAATATATGTAAGAACTATTTTTATGAAGATGTAATTATATGTTTGTCTAATATCTCTCTACTAAGGTTTAAATCGGTTAAAAACAGCCCATTTACTTGGTTTATAACTACCCAAATGTGTCTGGTCATGATGTGACGTATACCACTAGTTAATTAAAGGTGCGCCTGTTTGAAATTTAATTTAAAAAATGTTTTTTAGCTATAAAACTTGTAAGATTAATGTCTAAACTTTTTATTTAATGCCAAGTTAATAATTCAGTTCATCCATATTAGCTGATTTGCGGTGTTGATCTAAAAACTAAAAAAACAATGAGAAAATTTTGGTCACGCTGTGACGTTTTATTTTTTTTTGCATAAATGAGAGGCTTATATATCCAGCCAAACTTTTTTTTTTGTTTTTTGCAACATCTATTATGAGCTAACTAAATAGCAAAAAAATCATCTTATTCAAAAATCTTCTTATACCTATTTAAATATTAAAATAATGAAGGCTTAAGACAAAAAAAAAGACGGTTGCCACGCTGTGACGGTCGTGGAATTGCTCTCTCTATATATATACATATTTGATACTATGCATATATATTTGATACTATGCATATATATATGATACTATGCATATATATTTGATACTATGTATATATATTTGATACTCTATTATATATATATATATATATATATATATATATATATATATATATATATATATATATATATATATTTGATACTATATATATATATATTATATATATATATATATATATATATATATATATATATATATATTTGATACTATATATATATATATATTTGATACTATATATATATATATATATATATATATATATATATATATATTTGATACTATATATATATATATGTATATATATATATATATATATATATATATATATATTTGATACTATATATATATATATATTTGATACTATATATATATATATATATATATATATATATATATATATATATATATATATATATATATATATATATATATATATATGTATCTATGTTCCAAAATTTATAAATCCTCCTAATATACTAGAAGTTTGGCCTATCAAGGACTTAAAGGTAATTCTAAAGTGCTCAACTTAACTCAAGAGGTCGCATTACTGTTTCAAAAAAATCCTGATATAGAAAAACATTACACAAGGAAAGGAAACTTCAGTTTACTTACGCAAAATACCTTTTAATAATGTTATTGAAAAACAATAAATATACATTTATAAAGCCTATAATTTTCTTTACAAAATATTTTTTATTTGCTCCAAATAGCTTATTTGTTCAAACTATATGGACAAAATGATTTTTTGTCTGAAATTTTAAGCATCATATGTTGATTAAGTGAAATTTGAAAATTGAAATAAAAAATACCTCATCACTATCACTACTTTGATCTACACCATTCTCATCTGAAATAATTTCAAAATAAAAAATTAAGAAAAAAATCATTTTTGAAAGTAAAACAACTTAAAAATATATAAGAGCGTTCTGATTTAAAAACATAAAAAAAACAAAACAAAAAAAAAACATTCTTTAAACCTTTGACGATAAAAAATTATTCACTGTTTGTACTAGCTCTATTACTTTTATAAAGAAAATAGTTTTCTTTTTCTATATTTTGTACGGACTTATTGTTTCATAAAACTACTAATTATATAAGGCTCTAGCAACAAGGTTGATAATATTTTTTTTAAGTTTAAAAAATAAAATAATTGCAAAAAAAAAAAAAGTTTCATAAATGTCTAGCTTTAATCTTTGATCATAAATTAAATATCATTAAAAATAAATCAAATGCTCAATAAAAATGGTATAATAGAATTAACTTTAGCTGGGATCTGTTTGTTTTATTGATCCAACTAGTAACTAATTGTATTTATTATTGGTAGCTATTGATTTTTGTTTACCAATTTAAAATATTTGTAAAATTAAAAAGAAGTCTGCTTACCTGCCATAATTTTTCTGTAAGCTCTACAAATTTCTTGAAATTTTACGCGACACTGTTGATTTGTTTCGCCTTTACCCTGAAATGATAATTTCAAGATATGGTATTATCATTTTAAATAAAAATGAAGACTATCATTTCCTACTGTTACCTAAACACGCATATATATATATATATATATATATATATATATATATATATATATATATATATATATATATATATATATATATATATATATATATATATATATATATATATATATATATATATATATATATATATATATATATATATATATATATATATATATATATATATATATATACATACACATATATAATATATATATATATATATATATATATATATATATATATATATATATCAGGGGCTATTCTAGACCATTTTCAACAGCATCAACCATATTTGGGTGCCGCCCAAATAAAAATTGTTTTTTTCGCCAAAAAATGCAGATTTTCCGCTAAAGTGCACCAAAATGAGGGGGTGCCACCATCCAAATTTTTTTCTAGAATAGGCCCTGTATGTGTATGTATGTATGTATGTATGTATGTATATATATATATATATATATATATATATATATATATATATATATATATATATATATATATATATATATATATATATATATATATATATATATGTATATACAGGCTTCGGCAGGAATAAAAACCGTACGGGCTATGAAAAGCCCGTCTTAAATAGACTTGGCGGGCTATGAGGGCCGCCCGTCTAGATGGTCTTGCACGGGCTTTTTTAAACTTTAAAAAAAATTCTAAAGTTTGAACTTTATTTTTTTTAAATTTGTTAATTTCTCTTCTTCTTTTTGAATAAAAATGTCATTGAATATTAAACATTTTGTGAATTGCACTAAAATAATATGTTAGAAAGCGATTAACTGTTTAAAATGCTTAATTACTTAAGTAATTAAAACACTGCAGTAAATGAGTTGGATAATACTTAAAACCAAGATTTCAATAATTGTTTTTCAAAGTTTTCACTTGCACAGATCTAATTTCGTTTCACGTGGGTTAGTTGTTTTATGGTTGCTTTTGTTTAGATTTCTTACTCGAAGAAACTTTATTCAGTTTTTTATGTTTTTTTTTTTTAAATCTTTATTCCAGATAATATCTGGCAGATATAGTCAAACGAATGAACGTGAAAACGACAGGAAAAATCCTCGAAACAACCATGGCGTTTCATCACGTTTCTTTATTCAAGCATCCTAACGTGTTTTTTTACTGAAGTCTTTTTGAGTATATTTATATATTATTGTTTTATTCAAGTACTCGATTAAATTATACAGGTTTTTATCGTGCTTTTTTAGTTCATTCGTTTCTCTTATTCTTTGTGAATAAGAATATTACATAATATTTTCAAAATCTAATTTTTTTAATTATTCAGCAAATAGTTTAAAACCTTTTTTTTTTTTTAACCTTGAATCAATGAGCTTGGTAGTTTTAGAATTGTTTGGTATTAGCTTGGTAATATGATACGTAACTATGTTATTTTTCAAATTGAGTTATTTATATACTCTTGCATTCTATTGGGCGTGCAAATTAAAAACTTAAACTGTTATTTATATTTTTATAACTTTGCTTTACCTATGTCTATCCTGATCGGAAATATTTATTCTGATACGTGAATAAAAAATTTGAAATCTAATTTCTTTTAATAAAATAAGTTTTTATTTAGAAGTACTAATAATTTCTTAAGATACCGGGGCTTCCGTTACTTTATATACAATATAAGCATGTATATAAGCGTATGTATGTTGCTAGCTTTAACGTTCGTAGTGCTCTCTATAAATGCTAATGCTTTTGATTTTGCCAGACCTTTTAACTCGCGAAGCAATTCTTTTTTATATTTTATACAAACTATACACCATATCTTCACAACAAAAATTGTTCCATTCTCCACCTCAGTTTCTTTTCCACAGACTCCATCTTTACCCCAACTCAAAAATGTTCCTAATGTAACTCTTCTACCAGATGATGCCATTACTATCTTTACTGAAAAACTTGAATAACTTGAAAAACTTGAATGACTGGATAACTTGAATAACTTCATGACTATAAAGCATCGCTATTTATATTATCTACAAAAATTGATTAGACGTTTGTTGATTTTTAATGAGATATTTCATTTTCAATAACGAGTTATATAATTGCATATTAAATAAACCGCCGTCTCTTTCAGAAAAAACGTGAAGTTAACGCGGAAATATCACTTTAAATGTCTTTAAAGTAAGACAAACTAGTTTATCGGAAAAAAGCGAAATACATGGATAATTAGTTTATTATCGTTATTATTATAAACATTGAAAAACCAAAACAACATGATACTTCTTGTGCATCACATGTGTATATTTCCCTATTTAATATAATAGTTATTAAATTTTGAACATAATATGGTAACTGTTTGGTATTATATCAAACAGTTATCGTCGTTTAAAAAACTGTAAGATTTAGTTATATTATTTTCTACATCATGTTATACAATAATGATTAAATTGTTTAATTTTTATATTTAAATATAAACAATTATAAGTTGGAGTTTGCTATCCATATTAAAATTATGTCATGAGAGAAGTTTTAAAAGAGTATCTTAATAAAAAAATATCAAAATATTCATCTTTTTTTTTTACACAAAACTTATGTTTCAGACTGGCTTTATTTCGCCCGTCTAAACTGACTTAGACGGGTGCTGAGACGGACACGGGCTATAGCCCGTCATTCCTGCCGAAGCCTGTATATATACATGTATACATATATTATATCTGGCATAGGTAACTGATAGGTTTTAACGTGCATTAGATAGACGTGGAGAGGTTAAGGCATCGGTCTTGATTTTTTTAAAGTCTGATAAAGTTTAGCGTTCTGGTCTTTTCCATAAGCGTTCTTCTTAGGGTGTATCAGGAAACATCTTTAAGATTATCGAATCCTTCCTTACCAATCATAGTGTAAAAATTGTCCTTAATGGAAAGCACTCTTCTTCATTTCCTGTAACTTCAGGGTTTCACTAAGTTCTATCATTGGCAATCTGCCTGAAATTTTCACATCTAAGATGCTTGGAGGAAGTATTTGAGCTTAAAAAGAATCTCACTTTTGCTACAACATGGGGCTCTTAGTGGCTGGTGAACTTTAACTCAGAAAAAAAAAATTTCAATCATTATCGCAACAATCTAGATCTTCCTATATTTATGAACGAAAATGTATATGATAAGTCATCTTCTCTTCGTCTACTAGGATTAACTCTTACTTCCGATCTTTTTTTGAAACTACATATCAAAATTAGCATCTGCTAAGGTTGCATATCTTTATCGTGCTTGCCGCTTTCTAACTCAGGATTCTTTATCTCTATAATCTCTAACTTCTAAAATTCATTTTAGTGATACTTGTCATTCAAATAAGTCTCATCCTTTAATGTGACTGCTCCTAAGTGCTTTAAAAACTCTTATTTATCTGGTTTTTTCCTCAAACATCAATCCTTTGGAATTTTCTTCCTTCATCTTGTTTTTCTGATTTAAATAATTTCCCATGATTTAAGTCGTTCGTCAATCTTTATCTTGCTCTACAAACTTCATCTTTTCTCTTCCAGTAACTTTCGACACTAAAAGTTGTTGCTTGCAACCTTGTTGAAGGTGAAGATGTTTAAAAAAGAAAAAATATATATACACAGCATGAAAAATAAGAAATCGAAGGCAAGAATACAAAAATAAGTTAATGCTTGAAAATTAACGAATTTGTATTATCTAATAATAATGATTTAAAAAAAAATCGTTGCTTTTTTTAATAGTGCAAATGGGTAGGTGATAATTTTCTATTTACTTAAAAATAATTCATTTTATTACAATGACTTATCAAATGGCGGAAAAAGCTATGAGAGAAATAATTGAAAAGACTAAAAGAATAAAAAAAAATTAAGTACATTTGAGATAATGTTCTTAGAAACATACAACAATTTCGAATAATATTATTATTATTATTTATTATACTACAAAGATTGAAGTTAAAAAAGAAAAAAAATCAATAATTTTAAAAAAATCAATAATTTTCCCTTGCTCATTAAAATCATTTTAAAAACTGCTAATGTTAATTAGTTTATAATAATGTTGTTAACTCTCATTCGCAGATACTATTTAAACTAAATATTTTATAATAAAAAGACAATTGTTTCCTGAAACACTACGATAAAAATAACTAATGTTACATAAAACAAGATTTTTGCTAAATATATATATTTTCCTGATAATCCTATTAAAGAAAAAAAATGCAAAAATAAATAAAAAGATTTAAAGAAAAAATAAAACAAACTGACTCAATGTTCTTAGTTAAATACGGAAATTATTATACACCAATGATTATATAGCATAATATTATTATTAAATTAATATGTTAAACTTTTTTATTAAAATAAAAATAAAATGTCTTCAATCATTTATGAAAAAAAGGATTTTCACCACCAATAAAATGAAAGTTTAAACAAGTGTAGCAAAAAACTTAATAGATATAGCAGGCTTGGTCAAGATTATACTCTATCACTGAACTGACGCATAGAACATTTAGCTGCGACAACTTGGCTACAGCTTATTAAACGTTTTGAGAACATTTCAAAAATGTGCAAATAAAGTTTAATTTGACTGATGGGAGACAATTACAAGAAAACTTAATTTAATTAAGATAAGAATTTTTATTTAATTAAGTATATCAGTTTATTATACTATATCTGTTGTGCATGGCATTAACAGTATAAGTCAAAAGAAAATCAATTTTTTACTTTTTGATTGAACCTTGTAATATATCTCATACTACATGTGTGTAATGGACAACAAAAGTAACAAAATGCTACAAACTTTACTATTAAAATGTAAATCTTTATGTTATTATTTGACTTCAGAAGCTCATTTTAAAAACTTTAGAATGCTCTCCTGTAAAATGTTTAAATTTTACATATACTTTTAATGTGATGGCAGATATATTATAAATTAACATATAAAGGGCAAATTACATTATAAGTGAATTATAATTTTATTTTGTATTTTGCAATCTAAAAGCAAGTTTATATTACATCAAATTATTTGAAAGCAAACTTTTATGGTTAAACTAAAAAAGTAAAAATAATTTATAAAGCGGAACTGCTTCACAATACCACTGATGATGTTTAGTGAGCAGGCTTTTCAATTTTTGAGTGTTTGAGTTCTGTATGGACCTCTGGCGCTGTGCTGGTTCACCCATAAGTCACTATATATAAATGTTTGTGTTTTGTTTGAAACTCTGACACAGTGTTCATCTACTTTTAATTTACTAGGTATATATGTATCTATGTGTTCAGTCATCTATAAGTTCCTGTATGTTTATTTGATTATTAGTTTTATTAACTTTAATGATTATTAGTAAAATTTCATTAAAAACGCAATTGTTGTTGAAAGTAATGTTCTTAAAAAAATCAATAGTACAAATTGTTTTAAAAGACTTTTTTTCAACATAAAAAATAAATCTTTTAAATTAATTATATTTACATAATTTACTAAGCTTTATAAATTTTAATAAAGCCTTCTCATTTATATATAATTTTCTTTTTATAAACAATTAATCACCACTTTCTTAATGTAGTTAAGATACTTTTCAAAAAATTACAGTCAGTCTGTTATTACTTTAAAAAATTACAGTCAGCTTGTTATTAGTTTAAACAATCAAAATATTTCTGTAAAGCATCTGGTCTGTTATATTAACAATCAGATTGTTCAAAGAGAAAACATCTAAGATCTTATAGTGGACTACAAGCAATATTTTAAAATTTATTTAAAATGTAATATGCCTATCAAGATTTCATGTTATATAATAATATAATATATTTCCAAACCTGTGAAATCTCAAGTTCTTGAAAGTGACTTGGCTTGGTGCTGGAATTATTTTATAGGCTATTAAACAATAAAATATTCTTCAAGAAAATAGAAAAATAGGAGCTACAACTACCAGCATATCAAATTTTATTTACATTCACATTAAGTGGAAAACTTTATAACTTTGAGTGAAAAAAATGTTTTTTTAAGAAATTTATAAGTTTAAACACGTCTTTAAAGTACTTTGAAAAAATTCTCTCTCTTTTGATCTATAATCACATCCAAATAAGGACGTTTTTTACTTTATTTAAAATGATTTGAAGCAAACTGACTGAGCGAAATCCTAAAGATGCTCAAAAAGAGACTTTATAAAAGTCTTAAATACTGTATAAACAATCGATGTAGCAGCATTCCCTTGTAGCAGCATGCTATTAGATAGTCGATGTATCAATACTCTGTGCATGATATACAGTAAAAAAATTAAAATAAATCATTTAAAATGTTTTTATTTTTTAAAAAATGAGATAAAAGCATTCAGTATATTTTTAAAAACATTCAGAATATTTATAAAAACATTCCAGTCTTTTAATTTACGCTTTTATGGTTTTTTCAAAAAACATTAAATCTAATTAGTTTCCTCAATTAAATTAATGTGTTTTGTTATAATCTAACCATAGATTATTTGACTTAATGAAATTCCCGGAAAATCCCAGAAAATTATTTTATTAAAAATTTATCGTATTAACATACAACAAAAACAACGTAAACTTTTAAAACGGAATTTAGAGAATTTAGATTAGAAAGTAGTATGAAGCTAAATTATCTCCTAGAATAAGCAGCTGATCAAAAATGGCATTAAGATCCCCATATACTGAGGAAATATTGGCAATCTAGTTTAGGACATTAACAGGTAAATTTGGCATTTTAATGTCCTGTTAGTTTATTAATTTTATAATCAGTTTTTACAGTACGCAAGTAGATCCTATTGAGAAGCTCAATGTTAGGACTCAAACCTTGTCTGATAAAACTTGCACTAAAATTATAGAACCAATGGGAACAGGTGCAACTATAAATTTGTAAGTTGTTTTTACTCATTTAACTTTCAATCTATTATTCAAGCTTTTTTTTTAAAAAATCAATAGCCATACAAACATTCAATCCATTTATATTTTTACATATCTTTTACAGATGTTCATTTGGATGCAATGACTCAGTCATTGAATATTTTCATTAAGAATCATTGCGTTTACTCACTAGGAAAAAATGGTTTAATTATTTACAAAGAAGAAATGCAGATAATCATTGAGCAAAGAAAAAATGCAGACAATCATTGACCGGTGTAGAGGGAAAAAGCCATGAAAAGGAATGAAGCCATGTAGAAGGTAATATTTATGTTTCCTTTAAATTCTATTGAAATAGCCTATATTAAGTTGCATGCATTTTGTTAATATTTGCACTAATACTCCATTTTAGTATTGCTTTCTTGCATTTTCAATTTCTTTTTTTTATTTAGGCGCGATCAAGGAAACTTTCTTACTTTCTCCTGCCTTAACTCCATCAACATCACTTTCTAAATAAATAGCTATAAATAAGCCTTACTACATCATAATTGGTTTGCTTTCCTAAAGTTTCTAAACTCACTGTTTCTAAAGTTAGGAATTTTGCTTAAGATGCAACATCTGTTTTGACAACATTGTTATAGTTTATGTTTCTAAAGTATAAAAAACACTTTTTCATTTTGCTACATACCATTTAAGTACCTGTGTTTAAAGAAATACCTAATTAGTGATTTCGCCGGTTATCCGGTTTTGCGGTTAACCGAATTTTGTTCGAATATCAAATATCTATTTTCGAATAATAAAAACCGACTTATAGAAAGTAACATCGTAATTATGACGATTATTGTTTGACAAAAGTTATTTATCAAAGATTATAATATATTTCTTTTATTAATTTAAATGTTAATTTAATCAGTTTTGTTTGATAATATATTCTTAAAACAATTTACAATAGAAATCTCAAAGATTTATTTATTACTTTTACAACTCAAGCAATATATTTTTAAGGAAGTTTCTTCAGAATAATCTGGAACTCTAATTCGCTTATTCAGCGTATTTTTTGAACAAATAGAACTTGTTTATTCGTAGATTTGGCAGTGTTTTAATGTTAGCAAATATTCTTTATATTATCTTTACGCAACAAGTTGTTTTGAGAACATTCAAGTTTACCTATGTTTCCATCTATGTCCGCATAACAATAAGTTTTTAAAATACACGCTAAAAAAGATTACTTCATAACATCTCATTTTTCCTAATCAAATATTTTTATATGAGAGAATGATTTTAAAACATCCGCTGATATTAAAACATTTAAACTGATATTAAAACATTTAAAACATCATGATAAACAATTTTTGTTTATAAACAGCCGAAGCCGAGTCAAAAAAAACTTTTGGCTCGACAAGCCTGCTGGTAAGCCTCTTTATATAAAAAAACTCATGTCTAAAAATACAAAAAAACAGTTACCTTATTTGTGTAATGTAAATCTGGGTGGTATTTGAGAGCAAGTCGTGCAAAAGCTTTCTTAACCTCGTCTAAAAGGTAATTCAAATATTTTGAACAAAACTGGATTAAATTGAACATTTTGACAATAAAAATTCCAAACTTATATTTATGATAAAATTTAGGATTTACACTTTTAATAGGAATTTCATGCATCTTACTTAATTTCTCATTTAAATAACATTAAACAGTTAAAATAGATTGTTAATCTATTTATGATTAATTAATCCTCTTTTAAATTTTTTAAAGGCTGCAAAAACCTAAATGGAATTTGAAGTTTTATTCTGGTGGCTAAAACCTTTAATAAAATTATTTTAGTTATTGGTAGAAAAACAATTATCAAAATAATAATGATTAACATTTACAACTTACAACGATGTAAAAAAAAACTATTTAAATATTCATTTCAGATGATACGCTTACTAGATAATCAACAAATAATAGACAACATTATACAATTAGACAATACTTTATCTGACTTTAAATGCTTGAAGTTTGGGAAGTTAGACGAGAAAAAGTTGGTTGAAAAATAAAGCAGAAAAACATTTGTTAAGTATTTTTAATTATAGATGTATTTAACTGTTTTAATAAAAAGTTAAATAAAAATGTATGAATAAAAAGAAATTAATTAAATTAATCTATAAAATCTTTTTTTTTACTATAACACAACTGTAAAAACCTAATTTGACCTTTAATTTTTTTTAAATGCTGGAAAAAAAACCATAAAAAACCCCTAAAATTATGCAATATTTCATTGTTTTTTTCCAACATACAAGAAAAACAGTGATAATATATCTGTTGTGATATATTATAAAATGCAAAACCAAAGTTTTCAAAAACAAAGATTATAAAATACAATAACCAAAGCTTTCTTGTCTGACTTCCCAAAGTTCACAGGAAAAAAAAGTCACAGGAAAAAAAATATATATGTAATCATTAAGTATAATAAAACAATTGCGTACATTAAATAAGTTACATTTACTATATATATAGTTTAGCACTTACGGGGACAGATTTTACAAAAAAACTTACGGGGATATTTGCATTATCGGGGACATTATAGAATACCCATTAATTTTTTGTCCCCGTAAGCATGTTTTTTTTTTGTAAAAAAATGCACCCATAAGAAACTTTTATGATGAACGAAAAATGCATACATCGACTGACAAATAGCCTGACATGCGAGGGAGTGCTGCTACATCATATTTATATCATATTTATTTATTTATATATATATATATATATATATATATATATATATATATATATATATATATATATATATATATATATATATATATATATATATATATATATATAAGCCTTGCGATGAATAAGAACTGCGCAACACATAAGCACGACGTGATTTTTGACGTCATTAAATTCTTTTTATTTGCTTTTCATATTTATCGACATTAACTGCACCAATTTACTTAATTACCGCAAAACTACTTTAAATCGTTTATGTAGAAATGTTATTATTTAAAAATATTTTGGAATGTTTCGTTTTTTAAAATGTAAAAACATTTGTTTATTTTCTCGACGTTTGTCACGTTTTGTCTATACTAAACGAATAAAAAACATTATAACTTAAATTTAAAAAATATTATAAAATATGCTAATATTTGATTTTTTTTCTCTTAAATATGTAATTTAAAGTTTTTCAAATAATTATTTTTTCTTTTTAAAAAGTCAGCGAGTAATAAACTGGAAATTTTAATATTGTACGATTAAAAACTGTGCAATAGCTAATATTTTTACAAGAGATTTTATATAATATTTATTTATTTTCATAAAGCGGTTGATAAGCACAATCACTCGTATTAATAAAAAACATGAACGAACGTTTTGAATAGATTTTTAATGTTAACAAGTAATTTTATTTCAAGTAATATAAAATAAAATGTTAGAATAAAAATCTTATAGGTATAAAAGAAATATTTCACCGAAAAAATTATTCTTTAAAATTATTATTAAAAATTATTCGAAAAACTGTTGACGTTTTATTTTTCAGCAGCTGTTCTTGAGCACGCCTCGTTGAGTTTCGGTAACTTTTAACATAAAAGCGATTGTTATTATTTAAGTAATTTTTTTGAGTTACTTTTTACAAAAATTTTAATAACTGTACTTTATTATTGAATCAAGTAGAATACGTTTTAATATTAATCCTTTTTTTTTTTTATTTGCGCTCACCAATTTTTAAAATGTTTCCTTGAAATTACTCTTAAATACTTTAAATACGACTAACAGTTAATAAATATTTTTAAATCTTTTTTCTTAAAACCTAACAAACCCCCGTAAAATAATTATTTAAGTTTAAAATCTAAAACTAAAAGAAAGTATTTTTGTTCAATTTTATCGACAACTTTGCTATTACTGAATAATTTTATTAAAATGTTAGCTTAAAAGATTTATAATTTTTTTTTCTAATCTGAATTTTTTCTTTTTCTTCTTCTTCTAATAATGAGCATATTTAATTTTTTTTTAATTCAAACCTTTATTTCAACTGCGTTTTTAAAATACTTTATTAAATGTTTAAATAATCGTAAATTACTTCATTAAAATTCCGCTCAAAAATATCTTTAAATATACTCAAACAAAAAATTTTTTGCTCGACGCAAATAGCCCTAGCTACACGCAAAATCGCTCTTGGACGACGTAAAATTCACATCGCCCGACGCTTTATCGCAAGGCCTGATATATATATATATACACACACACATATATCTTACACTGCTGAATTAGGTGAGCATGATGATGTCATACTCACCTAACGTCAAATAGCCTGCTGCTATGAGCTTCAGTACATACATCGACTGACAAATAGCGTGACTCGCAGTGGAGTGCTGCTACATCGACTAAGGGTTTGGTATGGGTCAGCAACCTTTTCATTCATTATTCTTCGTTTTCCCTCATCGTTTTCTAAAAACGCTTACTTAATTTAGGCTAGCAAAAAAAGTGAGCAATTGCGCATATAAATAATATGCTATAGTAGATATATATATATATATATATATATATATATATATATATATATATATATATATATATATATATATATATCAGGCCTTGCGATGAATAAAAACTGCACGACGCATAAGCACAATGTGATTTTTGACGTCATTAAATTCTTTTTATTTGCTTTTCATATTTATCGACACTACTTTAAATCATTAATGTAGAAATGTTATTATTTTAAAATGTTTTGGAATGTTTTGTTTTATAAAAAATGTAAAAACATTTGTTTATGTTCTCGACGTTTGACACGTTTTGTCTATACTAAACGAATAAAAAACATTATAACTAAACATTTAAAAAAGATTATAAAATATGCTAATATTTGATTTTTTTTTCTCAAATATGTAATTTAAAGTTTTTCAAATATTTATTTTTTCTTTTTATAAAGTTAGAGAGTAATAAACTGGAAATTTTAATTTTGTACGATTAAAAACTGTGCAATAGCTAATAAATTAAAATTAATTACATCAAAACTTTTTAACAAATGTTTTTATATTAGCGAAACAATTTTAAATGAAGTAACAGTTTACTGAAAAAAAGTTTTGTTTTTTAAATATAATCGCCAGTTGTATATATTTTTTTAATTTAAAACATATAAATTGTTTAAGTGTTCATTTCTAAAATATATTTTATTAAAAAATAAAAAATTGTTTTGTTTTTATAAACGATGACATTCTACGACTACGAAAGTCTCTTTAACGAATTTAAATGTAAGAATGATTAAAGTTAATGTATTTAAAAAGATAAACAAAATTTCGTTAAATAAAAAAGTTTAAGAAAACCAGTAAAATTTAATAAGTTTAATCTTAAATGCTTTTATATTATCGAAACGCTTTTAATAAAGTAAAAAAAAAACACTTCTAATTAATTTAAAAAAAAGTATTTATAAAATGTTTTTTTATTTTATTTATATAACTATGTATTTTTTATGAGAAATATTTAACTTTTGAACATATTAAACAAATAAAAAATATATAAAAATGTTGCAACAAAGATTGAAAAGGTTTTTTAATGCATAAATTAAATAGACTATGCATTTTAGTTTGATGAGTTTTTTTTAGTTGCGTTATATATATATATATATATATATATATATATATATATATATATATATATATATATATATATATATATATATATATATATATATATATATATATATATATGTATATATTTTTTTTTTGTGTTTTTGCTTTAATAAAGTATTTTTTTTTATTTTCTCTTTCGTTAGTATTTATTATTTTTTTAAATTTTTCTTCCAGATAAGTTTAGCTATGTTTTTGTAGTGCATTTTTAAATTTTAAAAATATGACGTGGTCAAATCGTTAAAATTTTTTTTTTGCGTGGTCATATAAAGACATGAAATCGCATGTCTTCCTGTGAAAGCCTGATATATATATACAGGCCTTGTGATGAATAAAAACTGCACAACGCATAAGTACAACGTGATTTTTGACGTCATTAAATTCTTTTAATTTGCTTTTCATATTTATCGACATTAACTGCACTAATTTACTTAATTACCGCAAAACTACTTTAAATCATTAATGTAGAAATGTTACTATTTAAAAATGTTTTGGATGTTTCGTTTTTTAAAATGTAAAAATATTTGTTTATTTTCTTGACGTTTGACACATTTTGTTCATACTAAACAAATAAAAAACATAAGTTTTTTAAATAATTATTTTTTCTTTTTAAAAAGTCAGCGAGTAATAAACTGGAAATTTTAATATTGTACGATTAAAAAATGTGCAATAGCTAATATTTTTACTAGCGATTTTATATAATATTTTTTTATTTATTTATTTTTATTTATTTTCATAAAGCGGTTGATAAGCACAATCACTCGTATTATTAAAAAACTTTAACGAACGTTTTGAATAGATTTTTAATGTTTACAAGGAATTTTATTTTTGGTAAAATAAAATAAAATGTTAGAATAAAAATCTTTTAGGTATAAAATAAATATTTCAGCGAAAAAATTATTCTTAAAAATTACTATTAAAAATTATTC